CCCCCCCCCCCCCCTAAAAAAAATGCCTAATGAGTGGACTTTACCTCTTTAGGGCATGCTAACCATGAAGGAATGAGAGCCAGACCCATTGTCTGCAAATAACATAAGTTTCAGGGCAGTAGAAAATATAACAAACAGCAAACTAGGCTGTAAACTATAGAGGAACTCTCGGGGCGCATAGGATATACCTTAAGTATTCTGTGATTGTTGATGAAACGGTCTAAGATAGAGCAAATATCAAGACCTTCATTTGCGTCGAATGCATATTCCAGTACGCCAATGCAACGGTCCCCTGAACCCTCAAACACAGGCACAGTCCAATAGCTACCTACTCCCAGACACATTGCAAAATTGCGCAAAGGGTATTCGCCCATGTAATAGTATCTGACATGAGGGCTGAATTCAGGCATTCCACTTCTGAAGACGCGTGCTGGACGGCCATGGACATGGATGCGTTTAGCTGCAGTAATATCTGTGGTGTCGACTGAAGCTATAGTATGGAGACATACACGCCTGTACGCCCACAGACCCTCGTGAATCTTGCCATTAAGAGCAAAAGGCTGGTCTGCTGTTGTTAAAAAAATCTGGCCACCATTAACCCTTATAGGTACCCAAAATTGAATCAAACAAGTTCCTTGAACATCAAGAAGCTCGACTAGATTCTTGATTGTCAATCTGTTTATTTGACTGTCACCATTTGTATCAGTGTGAGTAGAATCTCCTATCCAATGAAAAAAGTTGGACAACATTGATGTCAAAGAATTTCAAAACAACACAACAATAACAACTATTACGCCGCAATCCAAGCAAGTTGGGCTATAGGAATCTCCATTTGCTCCATTTAATCTCATCTTAATTAGACCAATATTATACAAAATGAAAATAGAATGTACTCTCTTTGTCCCATTTTACGTAGCATACTTTTCCTTTTAGGTTGTCCAAAAAGAATGACACTTTTTTATATTTACAAACAATTCAACTTTTGACGAAGTAGCGAGTAAAATTAGAGGCTATAGTCAAAGGCGAGTGGCAGCATTCATGAGTCGCTAGCTTAACTGTCCCTCGGAGACAGGCAGTGGTGTAGCCACATAGAATGAAGGACTGAACACCCTTCATCGAAAAAATTATACTGAGTATATAGAAAATTATACTATGTATACATATCAAAAATTATTTTTTGTACATATATATTAAACCTTGAACACCCTTTTCAAAATTCCTCGCTTCGCCATCGGAGGCAGGTTCGAGATGAGTCGCTAGTTTAACTATCCCTCGGAGACATGCAGTGGTGTAGCCACATAGAGTGAAGGGTGTTCATCGAACATCCTTGGTCGGAAAAATTATACTGGGTATAGAGTAAATTGTACTATGTATACATATCAAAAGTTACTTTCTATATATATATATATATCAAAAATTACATATTAAACCTTGAACACCCTTTTCAAAATTCCTGGCTTCGCCACTGAAGGCAGGTTCGAGAACTACTTCTCAATTTACCCTTAGGGAAATGATTTACAGTCATACAAACGTCTATAAACTTGTTTTCAAACAATGTCACATAAATTGATGAAAAGCTAAAACCCAAGAAACAAAAAACCCCACATGCACAAAACTAAAGAGAGAGAAGAACTCACTGAGAAATTGGAAGAGAGATTTAACATGGTTCAGCTCATCCCCATTACGATTAGTCCAGAAAACCCACCGATTAATTCCATCATCTTGTTTTCTGTAAGAAAATTTGAGTTCAACAGGCATTATGAAAAAACTTAATTATCAGCAGCAGAAAGAAATCAAGACTGATGAATTAAAAGAACGCAAAATTTGTAGTTTTTTTGTGTGTAGTCCACATAGATTAGTGCTGTGCTGTATTAATTTTCTTTATTACTTACCTTGCTCAAATGATCCAAAAGGTCTGAGTAAAGGAGGATATCACGTGGATTTCCACTTATGCTTTTCGACTCAGCTATTATTGGATGCTGGGATTATTTTATACCGCCACTTTCCTTTGACTGAGAATGATTGTCATTTTCTGGTTTCAGTTTGTAAATATGCTCATGCACCTAAATAACTTAAATTCATTTCTGTTATAAGAAAAATTAAATTATGGTAGCTGTCTAATCTTTTTCATTATCTCTATAACATCCCCATAATTTTTCTGACATATTTTTTCACTTTTCATGTCTATACAAAGGCGTTGTAATAGATGGAAAGAACACACAATTGAAGAAGAAAATCTCTTCCTTTTTCCTCTCTCTATTTCTTGTTCATATTTTATTAAATTATTTTTATTTCATAACACGTTATCAGCACGAATTTGCTTCTAGTCAAGTCCGATCCGGCATACACTAGGTACCACCACTCTACTTTCTGGTATATAATTGTCATAGCATTGTTATTACGTCTGGAGAATTTTCTTTTTCCCAAAATTGATTGCTAATCTGCACACATATATATACCGATTAATTTAGATGTTACCATTCTTTAAATATTTTCAACCAATCAATTCTATGCTTATGTAAGCTTCATTACATAGACTTAATTATTCTGGTAACCGCATAAAGGTGATGCATCCTTATAATTTGTGGTTTAACACATTATGCAATTATTTTTCTAAGTATACTGCCAACAAGTTTTAAAATAATTATAGATTTTTATTTTATTCAAATTTTAAAAATATATACTAATGTCAAATTTAGATTGTAAGATCATTATAAAATTGTTATTAAGATATTAAAAGAAAATATAGAATATGTATATTAAATCATTCTGTAACAATACTTTGCCATAATTACAGCTGAGCTTTACCTCTCTTTTTGTTTATTTTTCTCTTAATTCAATTAAGAATTTGCCACAGAAATTTTCGGTTAATTTTATTTATTCAAAAATTTGTTGAAGTCTGTTTATATAAATATGAATACCATATTACGTGACTTATTTTATTTTGTTCTTGTTTCATAATTATCCAAATTGCTTCTAATTATTCTATTTTTTTATGATAGTTTTCATTATGTCGATTTTTTCAAAATTTGAATTTGTGAGGCACTTGACATCTTCAGAAAGAATTATTTATCATGGGTCCTTGATGATGAAATTCACATTGCTGCAAAAGCTCTTGAAAATACTATTATACAAGGATAAAGCAAAGGCTATGATTTTCCTTCGTCATCATCTCGATGAAGGGTTAAAGACCGAATACTTAACCCTAAAAGATCCATTTGAATTATGGAGAAGTTTGAATATGACCATCTTAAGGCAACGGTATTGCCAAGAGCTCGATATGAATGGATTCACTTACGGCTATAAGATTTTAAAACTGTAAGTGAATATAATTCTGTTGTATTCAGGATAACTTCCCAACTTAAATTATGTGGGAAAATTGTGAATGATGAGGATTTACTGGAAAAGACTTTTTCTACTTTTTATGCGTCAAATATGGTATTGTAGCAACAATACCGTGAAAAAGGTTTAAAGAAATATTCTGAATTAATCTCATGCCTCCTGGTGGCTGAGCAACATAATACCTTTTAATTGAAAAATCATGAAGCCCGTCTCACTGGATCTGCACCATTTTTCGATGTGAATATGGTAGTAGCTACTCAAAAGTCTGAAAGAATACAAAATAATTATCGTGTCATGGTCGTGGCCATGGACGTGGAAGGGGATGAAATAATTATCGTCATTATGGTGGAAATAAACAAGAGAACAATAAGGATCCTCAAAATAATCCTTTAAAAAGCAGAGTTAACATTTGCCACAGATGTGGTATGAAAGGTCATTGGGCACGTGTTTGTCGTAAACCTGACCATTTTGCCAAACTTTATCAAGAATCCGTTAAAAGAAATGATAACAATGTGGAGGCACACTTGACTTTTCAAAATAATGATGATAAAGCAGGTCCCTCAAACAAATATGATGATGCTAAGGCAAATCTTACATATAAAGATGATGATTTTGGAGGCCTTGCAAATATTACTCATTTAGAAGCTGGGGACTTCTTTGAGGATATTGACTGAAGAAGTGATTATCTTACTGGGGAATAAAACTTTAAGAAGAGTTAGTTTTAACATATTATGTCTTGATGTGTCACGACCTAAACTTCCCCCGTTGGATATCGTGATGGCATCTAGTCATAGGGACTAGGTAAGCTTAATATTAATTGAAACAACAACATTATTTAAATAACATCTAACAATTCAAAATGGAAATCTCTTTAAAATTTACAACCCCAAAATCGGTAGTACAAGTCATAAGCTCTACATAGTATTTGCTAGAAAACTTCTAAAATCAACTGTCCAAAAACAAGAATAAAAAGTGCAAACAAAAACTAGAAGGTGGCCCCGAAGCCTGCGAACACAGCGGCAGTTTTACCTCGAGTCTTCACAGCAACAATCCGCACAACTACTAACAATCTGTGACGACCCGGCTAGTCATCTCATGAGTTACCGCTTTGTTTCCCCCATTTATGCTTCTTATTGCTTTGTCTATCGGTTCTATATGTGATCGGGTTGGTTGGCTCGGGTTCGGAAAGGATTTGGTAAAGTTTGAGACACTTAGTCTCTTTTGAGGAAGCTTAAGTTGGAAAAGTCAATCGGATGTTGACTTATGTGTTAGGCTTGGATGTGAGTTCCGATGGTTCATATAGCTTCGGGAGGTGATTTGGGACTTAGGAGCGTGATCGGAATGTGTTTTGGAGGTCCGGAGTAGATTTAGGCTTGAATTGGCGAAATTGGATTTTTGGCATTTTCCGGTTGATAGGTGAGATTTTGATATAGGGGTCGGAATGGAATTCTGGGAGTTGTAGTAGTTCCATTGTGTCATTTGGGATGTGTGTGCAAAATTTCAGATCATTCGAACGTGGTTTGGTTGGGTTTTTTTATCATAAGCGGAAATTAGAAGATTTTGGAATTCTTAGGCTTGAATCCGATGCGAATTTGGTGTTTTGATGTTGTTTTGAGCGTTTCGAAGGTTGGAACAAGTTTGAATAATGTTATGGGATATGTTGGCAGGTTTGCTTGAGATCCCGGGGGCCTTGGGTGAGTTTCAAGTGGTCAATCGGATCATTTCTAGATATTGGGAGTTGCAGAAAAATTGTTGTTCAGTGTTGTAGAGAAATGGCCTTCGCGTTCGCGAGTAGGCCCTCGGGTTCGCGACGGGTTAGTTGAGGAGGTTGAGGATTTAGCCTTCGCGTTCGCGAGGAAGGCTCTGCGTTCGCGAAGGGCTGGAATGAGGTGCATCACGTTCGCGGAAAGGGAGTCGCGATCGCGATGAGTTAAGGAGCTATGCCTTCGCGTTCGCGAGCTGGGCGTCGCGATCGCGAAGAAGGAATTTTGGTCAAAGTAATTTTGTGCTTCGCGAACGCGAGGCATTGACCGCGTTCGCGAAGAAGGAATTGAGGCCTGGGCAGAATGTTTAAATAGTCATCTTGTCCGCGATTTTGGGGTTAACTTCCACCATTTTTGAGCGATTTTGGAGCTTTTTGAAGGAGATTGAAGAGGTATTCAAGGGGAAACACTTGGAGGTAAGATTCATGGACTTAATACTCGATTCTAATGTGAATTCTACCTAATTAATCATGGAAATTAAGCCTAAAATTGAAGAACTAGGGCTTGTAATTGGAGACCTAGAATCTGGAATTTGATGGGCCATTTGTGGTTGGATTTTGATGCTTTTGGTATAAATGCACTCAGGGAGTGATAAGGAGTCTGTTGATGTGATTTTTATCGGAATCCGAGATGTGGGCCCGGGGGTCGGGTTTGGCCAATTTCGGAATTTGTGTTGTAATTTGATTTCTTACGAGTTGGCTTTGTTCCTTTAGCATATTTTGATGGTTTTGCACTGATTTTGGTTAGATTTGGAGCATTCAGAGGCTGATTCGAGGGGCAAAGTCATCGCGAGCTAGAGATTTAGACCGGGTAGAGGTGAGTAATGATTGTAAATGTTGTCCTGAGGGTATGAAACTCCGGATTGCACATCGTTGTGTTATATTGAGGTGATGCACACGCTAGATGACGAGCGTGGGATCGTGCACTGTTGGGGATTATGACTTAGTCCATCCCGAATGATTGTTTTGCCGCGTATTTAACTAAAAACTATTTGCTATCATCATGTCTTGGGCTGAATGCCATATTTGGGCCTTGTGCCAACTATTTGAACCCTTAGGGGATTTTTACTGATATGTCCTCACTGTTTTGACTTTATACTTGTACTCAGTCATGCTATATTCTACTGTTTTCATAACTCAGCCATGCTTACTCTGTTTTAAACATTAAATGATATTTTAAATGATAAATTGGGCTGAGCATCATGTTTTACTGTTGCTCGAGTGGCTTATGCGATTCTGACTGAGTAAGGCCGAGGGCCTATGTTGTGAGGAAACACTGATTATGATTTTGAGGCCGAGGGCCTGAGATTTGTACGCCACGGGGTGGCTTGTTGATATGAGGCCGAGAGCCTATGTGATTTTGCCACGAGATGCTTGAAATTGCGCTTGGTCGTAAGGGGCCCCTCCAAGAGTCTGCACACCCCCAGTGAGCGCGGGTACCCATGGTGATGTGAGATATAGCCCGAGGGGCTGATTCTATTGGTATTGTGCCCGAGGGGCGTTTCTTTATGTGTTTACCTTTTCTAGTTGCCTGTCTTTTACTTGCTTAACTGTTTAAAAAGGGATTTTAAGAAGCTTAAACTGAAATAAAGTGACTTTGGATATTTTCAATTCATTACTTTTAGTGGCTTTTACTGCTTCCTTATAGCCTGTGATGTGCCTTACGTGATTTATTATTTCTCAGCCTTTATTTATGATTATTACTCACTGAGTTGGAGTACTCACTTTATTTTCTGCACCCTGTGTGCAGATTCAGGCGCTATAGATCCTGCTCGCGAGGGTTGAGAGCTCCCGGCAGATT